ATGTTCATAACAGCACCGTTACCAAGACCGAAAAACAGAAATAACTGAATGTCCATCATATCAGGATCCTAGCAGGAAATAGCTGGCATACTCAAATGAGGATGATTAAAGGAGCGTTTAATTACTTGGAATGAGTTGAGTATCGAAAAACATCAAAGGACTGTTTAGTAGTCCAACACAGAAAAGCAGAACTACATCTGAAAGGAGGGAGAAAGTGGTTACCCAAATCTGAAAAGAGAGTTCCAGCAGAAAGCCTACCTTGAAAGAAGCAGTGAATTTCAAGTAAGGAATACAGTCAGGTTGAGGCAACCCCACAGGGACTAAACCAGGGGAATAAACACCCTGACAATTGTTTTCCCCACCTTCTAATCTCCAGTCAGGACTCCCCACTGGCTGAACCCAACAGCAGGCCAGAGGGCAAGGAGCCCCCCGGATGAAGCCCAAAGATGTCAACCTCCTGGGGCATGGCGGAGCAGGGAGAGAGTGGATATAGAGAGGCAAGAAGATTCTCAGCATATCCAGCAACAGAATGTAACAATATATGCTGACACAATGGCTACTGCCCAGCAGGAAAATGAGCAGACTAGCGCTACTTAGACCAATATGGATAAATCCCTAAAACCTCACATTGGTTTGAAATTGAGTGGGACCCTATGGGGCCCGCCAGGGCACAAAAGCCCTTCCACATCTCCCATTTCTTGTTTGCAGAAAAATGCTTTAGTATCCTAGACCTTCCCTGAGTTCCAAAGGGCAGATTCAAGGAGTTACTAATCAGGGAAGGGAGGAAATGCAGAAACAAAGGAAAAGGAGTCAAGAAACAATAGTTCAGTGATAAAAGAGTCTTAGTTCCTAACTGGACAGCTACATGTAAAAGAATGAAATTAGAATACTCCCTAACACTACACAAAATAAACTCAAAATGGATTAAAGACCTAAATGTAAGGCCAGACACTATAAAACTCTTAGAGGAAAACATAGGCAGAACACTCAGACATAAATCACAGCAAGATCCTTTTTGATCTACTTCCTAGAAAAATGGAATTAAAACAAAAATAAACAAATGGGACCTAATGAAAAGCTTTGCATGAAACCATAAACAAGATGAAAAACAACCCTCAGAATGGGAGCAAATATATGCAAATGAAGCAACTGACAAAGCATTAATCTCCAAAACTTACAAGCAGCTCATGCAGCTCAATATCAAAAAACAAACAACCCAACCCACAAATGGGCAGAAGACCTAAATAGACATTTCTCTAAAGAAGGTATACAGATAACCAACAAACACATGAAAGAATGTTCAACATCACTAATCATTAGAGAAATGCCAATCAAAACTACAATGAGGTATCATCTCACACTGGTCAGAATGGCCATCATCAAAAACTCTACAAACAATAAATGTTGGAGAGGGTGTGGAGAAAAGGGAACCCTCTTGCACTGTTGGTGGGAATGTAAATTGATACAGCCACTATGGAGAACAGTATGGAGGTTCCTTAAAAAACTAAAAATAGAACTACCATATGACCCAGCAATCCCACTACTGGGCATATACCCTGAGAAAACCATAATTCAAAAAGAGTCATGTACCACAATGTTCATTGCAGCTCTATTTACAATAGCCAGGACATGGAAGCAACCTAAGTGTCCATCGACAGATGAATGGATAAAGAAGATGTGGCACATATATACAATGGAATATTACTCAGCCATAAAAAGAAATGAAATTGAGTTATTTGTAGTGAGGTGGATGGACCGAGAGTCTGTCATACAGAGTGAAGTAAGTCAGAAAGAGAAAAACAAATACCGTATGCTAACACATATATATATGGAATCTTAAAAAAAAATTTGGTTCTCAAGAACCTAGGGGCAGGACAGGAATAAAGATGCAGACGTAGAGAATGAATGTGAGGACGTGGGGAGGGGGAAGGGTAAGCTGGGAAGAAGTGAGACAGTGGCATTAACATATATACACTACCAAATGTAAAACTCATGGCTAGTGGGAAGCAGCCACATAGCACAGGGAGATCAGCTTGGGGCTTTGTGACCACCTAGAGGGGTGGGATAGGGAGGGTGGGAGGGAGACGCAAGAGGGAGGAGATATGGGGATATACGTATATGTATAGCTGACTCACTTTGTTATAAAGCAGAAACTAACACACCACTGTAAAGCAATTATACTCCAATAAACATGTTAAAAAAAAAAAAGAGGGCTTCCTCGGTGGCGCAGTGGTTGAGAGTCCGCCTGCCGATGCAGGGGACACGGGTTTGTGCCCCGGTCCGGGAAGATCCCACATGCCATGGAGCAGCTGGGCCCGTGAGCCATGGCCACTGAGCCTGCGCGTCCGGAGCCTGTGCTCCGCAACGGGAGAGGCCACAACAGTGAGAGGCCCGCGTACGGCAAAAAAAAAAAAAAAAAAAAAAAAAAAGTCTTAATTCCTTAGCCTTATAGTTCCCTCAAGAGATGTGCCTAACAATCTGATACAGTCTTCAAGTTCTGCAGGCCCCCACCCAGGTGAAGGATGGTAAGTACCTGCTGAGACCCCAGACTGGTCAGAACCAGAAGGCTGATGCTTTTGATTCCTGGACCACCATCCTGTTACCTCACCAGCAACCAATCAGAAGAAAGTCATTCACCCTGCAGCTGTCACCCCAAATGCTGCCTTTAAAAACTCTTCCCTGCTTCTCCATTTGGGATTTCCCTGGTGGTCCAGTGGTTAGGACCCTGTGCTTTCACTGTCAGGGCCCGGGTTCAATCCCTGGCTCGGGAACTAAGATCCCACAAGCCACGTAGCGTGGCAAAAACAAAAACAAAAACCTCTTCCCTGAAAACTACAGGGAGAGCTTGGGTCTTTTGAGTACGAGTTACCTGTTCTCCTAGCTTGGCCCTGCAATAAACCTTTCTCTGCTCCAAACTCTGATATTTTGTTTGTTTGGCCTCACTGTGCATGGGGCGCACAAGCTTGGGTTCGAAAACAGGTTGAAAAAGGCATATTAAAATATTTAGAGAATGGTCACCACAACAGACTGTATTTTCTAAAATCCACCTCAGCTAGATTTCTGGCCTTACATGCTCTTCCAGAACCTTGCCACCCCCCAGCAACAGCTGCAAAGAAAAAAAAGAATAAGGCTTTCGGAAAGGAGTTACAGGAGAAACCCACTTTAGTAAGGGTAGCCAGGGAAAATCTGTCTGAGAAAGGACTGAACTTTAAATAAAGTGTGAAGGTTGAGAAAGTGCTATTAGCTAGGCGAGCAAAGAGCAAGCACAAAAGCCCTACGGAAATAAAGGACTTGGACCTTTAAAATTGGAGTTAAGAAAACCAGTGAAGCAGGAGAACTGGGCAAGGGGAAGAATGGTGAGCATGAAGCAAGAAAGGTGAGTACAAGCCAGATCACACAGTGTGTCTGGCGTGACTGCCCAGGGTGACAAAAACTGGAATTTGACCACGCAGCAAAAGACGCAGGGAGTGTGAATTGGTTCAGCCACTATGGAGATGGAGGTTCCTTAAAAAACTAAAAATAGAACTACCATATGACCCAGCAATCCCCCTACTGGGCATATACCCTGAGAAAACCAAAATTCAAAAAGAGTCATGTACCAAAATGTTCATTGCAGCTCTATTTACAATAGCCCAGAGATGGAGACAACCTAAGTGCCCATCGTCAGATGAATGGATAAAGAAGATGTGGCACATATGTACAATGGAATATTACTCAGCCATAAGAAGAAACGAAATTGAGCTATTTGTAATGAGGTGGATAGACCTAGAGTCAGTCATACAGAGTGAAGTCAGAAAGAGAAAGACAAATACCGTATGCTAACACATATATATGGAATTTAAGAAAAAAAATGTTATGAAGAACCTAGGGGTAAAACAGGAATAAGGACACAGACCTACTGGAGAACGGACTTGAGGATATGGGGAGGGGGAAGGGTGAGCTGTGATAGGGCGAGAGACAGACATGGACATATATATACTAACAAACGTAAGGTAGATAGCCAGTGAGAAGCAGCCACATGGCACAGGGATACCGGCTCGGTGCTTTGTGACCGCCTGGAGGGGTGGGATAGGGAGGGTGGGAGGAAGGGAGACGAAGAGGGAAGAGATATGGGAACATAGGTTTATGTATAACTGATTCACTTTGCTATAAAGCAGAAACTAACACACCATTGTAAAGCAATTATACCCCAATAAAGATGTTAAAAAAAAAAAAAAAAGACGCAGGGAGGACCAATAAAACGGGCAGCAATGGTCCCTTTTATAGCTCTACGGCTAACATTCACTTAGCACCTAGCCTGTCAGGCACTTGGTTACAGAAATCCTTTTAATCTGCTAACCCTCCCCTATGCGGTAAGTATTAACAAACCCATTTTCACAGCGAGGCAGATTATCTAAAACCAAAATCCAAGCACTTAACCCCACACGGCTCTTCTGCCTCCCCTCTCCAGTTCTGACGGGCACTGCTAACATTTTGGTGGATGACTCATATTATAGAAGGTAACCATGATTATGGAGTATAAACTACATCGTGGTGAATGCCCATAATAAAAATAACCACATCTCACGTGCACCCAGCGCTTATCCTGTGCCACACACAACCTCGCTGCGATTATTCCCCTTTTACGGATGAGGAAACTGAGACCAGTACTCGCTGAGCAACGTGTCCAAGGCAGGGCTTGGAAACCAAGTCTAAGTACAGCGCCCACGCTATTAACTATGCTTTGCTGCCTCACTCTATCTTCTCTCAGGAACCTTGGTCATGGCCAGCGAGGCTCCACGACCGTACCCCTTGCCCAGACACTCTTCTTTCAAAAGCGCCCCTAGAAGCCCCAAGTGCGGGCGGTGCGGCCTCTGTTGCGGTCCCCAGCCTCCGGGTGCAGCCCCCGGGTGCAGCCCCCGCTGGGGTCCGGCTGGAGGCGCACATCCCGACCGAACGTTCCCGCCGAAGGTTCCGCCGCCCCGAAACCAACCCCTTCCCAGGCGAAGGGCAGGCAGTACCTGAGGAAAACGCGTCCAGGGTCCTGCCCCGAGCTCTGTGGAAAACACCTTCCGCTTCCGCAGCCGACATGGCAAGCAAGTTTTCCGCCTCGAAGGAGTCCACTGCGTAGGAGGGAGCGGCGCGACTCCTTACGGCCCAACTTCTGCTTGGGACCTGCCCGACTGGGGGCTGCGCCCTCTGCTCGGGGCGGAGCGGGGCCGGCGGGCGCGCGGGGCTCGGTCGCTCGGGACGCCACTAGTGCTGCCTGAACGGGGCGGAAGCGTGAGAGGCCCCTCTGGGATCGACTGGGGCTCCTGGCGAGGGAACCAACTTGCCTGGCGCCTGCGTGAGCAGAGTGAGTGCCTTTGGACTCAAGATTTGGGGGGGCAGCCATTCCCTAAAAGTGGGGTCTGCAGGTTTAACAAATAAGAATACAGGACGCCTAGTTAAATTGGAATTTCAGATAAGCAATAAATGATAAGTATGTGCTATGCAATTTGGGAGATGCTTGTGCTAAATTTTTTGTCGTTTATCTGAAATAATTTAAGTGGGGACCTGTATTTTATCTGGGAATCGTACCTTACGGTCCAAAGGACCCGGCCCTGTCCTTGGAGGACTCGACAGGACAGTCCTCCGAACCACCAGGTGTGATCTCTGTCACAGTTCTGAGGCATCTTCAGTTTCCTAGTCATCATCACCATCATTCTATTTCAAACCAAGTCCCCCTAAAACTGAGCTCCCTTACTGAAATATGATTAATCTCACTATGCCAAATTTTATTCTCTTTCTTGTCTGGCGCCTGTACCCCTCAGGATTGAGGACTGTCAAAGAAAATGGGAGATTGAAACCAAGCAAGACACTGTAGGGCCTTCCCGGGTACAAAAGCCCCACTGTGTCCCCTGTTGCTATTTTTTTTTTAACATTTTTTAAATTTTTATTATTTCTTTCTTTATTTACTTGGCTGCATTGGGCTTCTCATTGCAGTGGCTTCTCTTGTTGCGGAGCACGGGCTCTAGGCACGCGGGTTTCAGTAGTTGTGGCTCACGAGCTCTAGAGCGCAGGCTTCCTCAGTAGTTGTGGCGCATGAGGTTAGTTGCTCCGTGGCATGTGGGATCTTCCTGGACCAGGCCTTGAACCCCTATCCCCTGCACTGGCAGGCAGATTCTTAACCACTGTGCCACCACGGAAACCCTCCCCTGTTTCTTGTTTGTAGAAAAAAAGGCTTTAGATTCCTATGCCTTTCCTGAGTTCCAAAGAGCAGGCTCAAGCAGTTGATGATTAAGACAATAGTGTCACAGAACTCCTAGTTCCTTCTGAAAGGATGTAGATAACAATCTGATGGATATCAAGACTCCCCACCCAGGTGGAGGGTGGTAACTACAAGCTGACCACAAGCCTTGACTCCAAACTGGTTGGAACCAGAAGCTTGAAATTCCAGAAACATCACCCCGTTACCTCCCCACCAACCAATCAGAAGAAAGTCCACGAGCTGATCACACATCCTATGACCCTCTCCCCTAATACTGTCTTTAAAATCCCTTGCCTGAAAACCATTGGCTAGTTCGGGTCTTCTGGGTATGAGTTCCTTGGTTGGCACCCTACAAATAAACCCTGACTTTGCTGCAAACACCTGATGTCAGAGTGTGGCTTTCTGTGCCACGGGCACAGGAGCCCTTGCTTGGTGCCATGTTACTGTCATCATTGCTCCCTAAGCATCAGGCATTGCTCTGAGCACTTTGCACCAGCTCACTTAATCCACTTAACAGCCTTAGAAGATGGTACTATCATTAGCTTCATTTATCAGAAGGGGAAACTGATGCCCAGAGAGGTGACATTGTATGTACAAGGTGACACACATCCAGGAAAGTAGTGAAGCAGCCACCCACCCAAACTGGAATCTGTCCAGCAAAAAGCCATTGAACTGAACTACTAAGCTAGCATTTGTCAAACTTGCTAAAAATACAAAACCCAGGGTGGACCTACTGAGTCTAAATCTCCAGGAGAAGCTTCTGTTTCTAACTCCTCCGGGAGTTCTTATGACATGCCAAGTTTGGGAAATTCTCTTAACTAGATGCCTACATCTGAAGCATTGTTTGGGTGGCTAAAATGACCAGGACAACTGTCCTCTAATCTTAGATAAGAGGCAGTTAAGAATATAAGTGCCTAGGAGTTCTGGAGTCAGACTGCTACCACTTGCTTGTTGTATGATCTTGAAAATTACTTAGTTTCTCCATGCCTCAATTTCCCTATCTGTCAAACAAAAACAATAGTAGTATCTTGGTCATAGAGTTGCTGGGAGGCTTAAATGAGTTGGTGCATCAAAGTGCTTAAAACAAAAATGGTACAGATGAACTTATTTGCATAGCAGAAATAGAGTCACAGATGTAGAACACCAACTTATGTTTTTCCCCCAAGGGGGGGGTGGGTGAGATGAATTGGGAGATTGGGATTGACATATATACACTACTATATATAAAATAGACAACTAATGAGAGCCTACTGTATAGCATAGGGAACTCTATTCAATGCTCTGTGGTGACCTAAATGGGAAGGAAATCTAAAAAAGAGTGGATATATGTATATGTATAACTGATTCACTTTGCTGTACAGCAGAAACTAACACAACATTGTAAAGCAACTCTACTCCAATAAATTAAAAAAAAATAATAAAGTGTACTGGAATGAAAAAGTGCTTAAAACAATAGTTCTAATAGCAAATGGTAAGTACTCAATGAATATTGGCCATTATTATTATCATCATTATTAATCACTGTATCCCTATTCACTGCCCATGGCCTGGTCCAGCAGGAAATTCTCAGGAAATGTTCAAGGAAGGAATGAGTAAATGAGGATCAGAAGTCCTAATGTTGGCCTTTAGGCCCTGCAAGATACAGCCTGCTTCTCACCCACTAACTTTGCAGTCACTGTCTTCCTTAAACATGTTCCTTAAACATGAAAATCCATTTCCCTCTTTGCATTTTTGGTTCCTTCTATTTACAGTGTATCTGCTCATTTGAATATCAAGGCCTCTGCTTAACTCATACGTCCAGGGAGAGACCTTACCCTACACACTTGCACACATTCCTCAGAGCTCAACTAGGTCTTCCTCACTCTTCTTATAGCACTCAGATCATGATCATTGTAGCCCTTTGCACAGTTGGTTATCATATGTTTACAGATGTAACTATTGGTTTCATGTTGTCTCTCCCAATTCAAATGTAAGGTTTGTGAGGGCAGTTACTTTGACTGTCTTGCCCATCAAGCAGGGGGCTTAACGCATAGACACAAATGGCTGTTGCATGAGAAATAAATGGATGATGACTATCTTGGCAAGATAACCCTGTTTTGAACCTGGGCAGTGATGGTGAGTAATGTCAGAGCTGCATGGGTGCCACTTCCTGGTAGTTATGGCTGCATGTACACCTTGTCCACCACTGGGACCAGCAAACTCTGAGCCTCATTGCCTGCCACATGCAGCTGTGCAGCTCAGTGTTTCCACTCTCCCTGACCGTACTCTTTTAGCCCATACACTCTTATTTTCAGCTGTCTGCCTGGAAGGTAAGAGGGGGCAGACAAGCACCACAAGAACAGCATATTCCTGAGCAGCAGGCTGACCTGTTCAGTACACTTCTCAGCTGTGTGACCTTCGGCATGTCACTTAATCTTTCTGAGCTTCTGATTCTTCATCTAAAAGGAGCTTCCTGGCGGTCCAGTGGTTAGGACTCGGCGATTTCACTATGGATGTGGCCCGGGTTCAATCCCTGGTTGTGGAACTAAGATCCTGCAAGCCATTGCTGTGGCCAAATAAAATAAAATAAAATAATATAAATAAATAAATAGAGATAATCACAGCACCAATCTCATATGGTTTTTTGGGGGTTTTTTTAAACATGTTTATTGGAGTATAATTGCTTTACAGTGGTGTGTTAGTTTCTGCTTTATAACAAAGTGAGTCAGCTATACATATACGTATATCCCCATATCTCCTCCCTCTTGCATCTCCCTCCCACCCTCCGTACCCCACCCCTCTAGGTGGTCACAAAGCCCCAAGCTGATCTCCCTGTGCTATGTGGCTGCTTCCCACTAGCTATCTATTTTACATTTGGTAGTGTATATATGTCCATGCCACTCTCTCACTTCGTCCCAGCTTACCTCATATGGGTTTTGTGAGGAGTAAATGATCCTCTAGGCAGAGTTTCTGGAGCATACTAAGTGCTTGATACACTTTTTCTGTCATTGATATTGTTAATATCGTTGTTGGAATACACTTCAACTCATTTTTTTCTAGTCAAAATTCTACTCTTTCAAGATTCTTTTAGGGAATTCCCTGGTTGTCCAGTGGTTAGGGCTCAGCACTCTCACTGCCAGGACCCCGGGTTCGGTCCCTGGTCGGGGAACTAAGATCCTGCAAGGCGCATAGCGCAGCCAAAAAAAAAAATTCTTTTAATCAACTATACTTCAATAAAAAATTTAGGGACTTCCGTTGTGGTGCGGTGGTTAAGAATCTGTCTGCCAATGCAGGGGACACAGGTTTGAGCCCTGGTCCGAGAAGATCCCACATGCCATGGAGCAACCAAGCCCATACGCCACAACTACTGAAGCCCACGTGCCTAGAGCCCGTGCTCCGCAACAAGAGAAGCCACCACAATGAGAAGCCTGCGCACCGCAACGAAGAGTAGCCCCCTCTCGCCACAACTAGAGAAAGCCTGCGCGCAGCAACAAAGACCCAACACAGCCAAAGATAAATAAATAAAATAAATAAATTTATTTTTTAAAAAAGATTCTATTCAGGTGTCACCTCTTACATCAGCCACGTATCATTTCATTGCAAATAACAAAATCAGTTCAAATTGGTTTGATCAGAAAAAGGAATTCATTGGCATACATAAATTAAAGCTCTGCTATGTGTGGCCAACACGGTGGAGTAGGAAGACCGAGCTCACCTCCTCCCACAGGTACACGCAAATTGCAACTATTTACACAGCAACTACTGATGAGAATGACCGGAAGACTCAAAGAGAAAGATCCTCTACGACTAGAGATATAAAGACGGAACCACAATGAGATGGGTAGGAGGGGTGGAGAAGTGG